CAGATGTGAAAGTCAACGAAGCTAAAGGTAAAGGCAAAAATAAGCAAAGTCGTGAAGGAAAGAAAAGGGAAGAAATAAAGGAAAGAAAAGAAGTTATTGACCACTAAGAGTTGAACGCCAAAAAGGCAAAAGGTAAACGCAACAATCAAGGTACAAGGTAAATTCAACCCACAAAAGATAAGCCAACTAACTTCAGGGTAAGGTCAGGTACGGGGTAAGGAAATATGTAAACTAAAGAAAGGTAGGAACATCATCCTGAACACAAGAAACAAACGGAAAGTCAATAAACTATTGACAAAAGCAGTAACGGAGAACTCAATGGACCGAATGACATGACACTGTCCCGTTTCGCGCCAAGACAGTAACATGCAACCAATACAATGAGCTCCTCGCTCAGCCAACAAAACAATCAAGTGTTCCAGGAGTCAACAAATTAAGGGAATTAAAACAAAACAAAAGGAATTAGGAATAAAAAACTATGATGGACATAGGCTTGCAAGAAATGGTATAACAACCACAAACCTATTCCTTAATGACCTAACATATCCTATTCCTAAAAGAAATGTTAGGGTGATGCTAAAATTGCCAGTGAGATGGTACTGGTTAAGGCTACAGACAGTATGGTTTGCCGAGAGTACCATAGCAAGGGGTTTGAATCAATGATTGGTGTTGATTAGCATCGGAAGTTAACCCTTGGTCTGACGGGAGTTTTCCAATATGGTGTTGATGGTAGGGCTACAGACTGTATGGCTAGCCGAGAGTACCATAGCAAGGAATTTTCCTTGGCCTGACGGGGGTTTTCCAATATGGTGTTGATGGTAGGGCTACAGACTGTATGGCTAGCCGAGAGTACCATAGCAAGGAATTTTCCTTGGCCTGACGGGGTGACATAGCACAAAAAAAAAAAAAATAATTACAAAATGACTATCAAACAATACGGTAAGTAATCAACAATGAGATACAATAAGAATAAAGATAATTAATTATACACAGGGATTCGTAATACCTGTTACCCAAAAATAATTTAAGAAAAAAAAGTAAAAAATTTAAACGTAGAACTTGAAATTTGATTCTATGCACTCAAAACAGCCAAAAGAAAAGTGAATTAAATTTTCTTTCAAAGAAACGGCAGCCCCACGTTGGGCGCCAATTAATTTGCCACGCTTTTTCGCTGATTAAGAAAAGTTCATAATAAAAAAAAAATAAATTTAGAAAAATAAATTTAAAAAAAATTAAAGTCGAGAATAAAAAAAAATTAAAAAAAAAAAGTAAAATAAAAATAATGAAAATAAAAATAAAAATAATTGAATGAAGAACTTGAGATTGTAAGACTGAAGGTCGAAGTGCGTGCAAATTAAGCCCTAGCTCAGAACTAAATATTTCGGAGAGTAGGGGTGGGTTTTAGTTTTGGGCGCCACCGACTCTGAACAGATGAGTCGGACTCTCCAGGATGGTATCTGGCTTCAGGTCCTTACAATCCAAATAATAATTAATAAAAATATTAGCAAAACCAGGCTGTGTGCATAAAACCAAATAAAAGTCAAGAAATCAAGTGCTACAGTTATTTATTCACCAAATGGCCGCAGACCACAATGAACAGTAATTTGAATTTAAGAAAAAAAAAAAAAAAAAATAATAATAATCAAGTAAATTAGCAATTAATAAATGACCTTGTCATGAAGTGTCAACCAACAGATACAGAAATGCTATACGTTTTTAAATAATTGCTATAGTCAAGAACAATTAAATTTAAATGCAAAAATATGTTATTGAAACTCAATAACTAAGTAATAAAAAAAAGGATATATATTAAAAGTAAGGTTTGAAAATTTAAAAAAAAATATAAAGAGAATAAGAGAGGGAAAAAAAAACTAATAATGTAGAATTAGTTTTCGGAACGGTTACCTTACACTTTCGTAACCAGAACTACCAATAAGTTGACATTAATTCAACAGGTTACGTCTAGTTAAGTTACCTATTTTAATAATTCATTTACCACACTGGGGCCAGCAATGAATTATTCCCTGAAATACCGAGGTGATCACCGGGTGTACAAATAGGGACAGAATGTAAATAAACAAAAACAATCAGGATAACTAAAACTAGTACGATACCAAAATTTTCCAGATGATGGTGGTTCATTCAGTTCACCAGATTAGTCCTGGCTACTGGTTGTGGTTAACTTGATCGATGACTTGAGTAACCGTCCGATTACTTAGGCTGGTGTCTGTTAGCCTTTTGGTTCAATTTCGGTTACAATTGAACGTCTATTGTTATAATCGTGAGGGTATACTCGATGGTAAAGTATAACCCCTCGTGAAAGAACCCTCGTGAAAGAACCCTAAGAGAAAAACTGTTATACACACTGTATTTGTAATTGAACTAATAGCGAAGCACTTCATGAATAAATTGAATCAATAAGAAAAAAAAATGAAACTATAATGATTAGTTTCTGATAGCAAATTTACTTGATTTAAAAGACTATAGCTCTTGAAAATTATTTTAATAGAAAAATTGAACATTAAGGTATTAATTAATTAAATCAGATGAAATCATAATAAGGCTTTGATAGCAATTGAGAAAAATGTGTCTTGAGTTTGCAAAAATTGTTATAAGGTTATGTTTTTTTACCTGATGGAATTAGGGTGTCGGCCTCGAAAATCTCCGGAAATCTGGATCGAGGATTGGATTTCCTAGAGAGAGTGAGAATTCTCTACTCCTTAGGGCAGCTTTCAACTAAATTAAATTGAAAAAGTCAGAATCTACTATAGGAAAAAAACGTGTAAGCAGCTTACCACACATGGAGTTGTAAAAATCCGAATAAATCGGCGAAAATTATAACACTACGAAAACGTAAGGCATGAAGGCAACTAAAATGTTATAACTTCAAATGAGAATTTAGGGTCGAAATCCCAAAAAGGCGAAGGCAATCTTCATAAAGACCCTAATTCTCCAACGTCCAGATGTGAAAGAAAATGTGCTCCACATTCAATTAATAAACTAACCTAACCCAAAGGAAGGAATTCAGACTTAGAGATGATCGAGAACAACGACAAACAACAACAACCAATCGACAGAATTCCCACTTACCAAAAATTGCACACAACAATATAAACTGAGAAAAATAACAACGGCTGATGAATAATGATATCAACAACCAATAATTATCCCATAAAACAATCAAAACTTGAAGAATACAAAATATAGTAAGTGTTCCGTTTTCAAAATTAGAGAGCTCAAGGAAGAATCGACGATACTGAAAACATCACTACTCCACCGCTGGTTGACAGAAATTTTTGACAATCAAAAGTCAAAGAAACGAAATCACAGGGTGCGTTCCAGATGTCTCAAAGAACATCGAACCAATGCGCAACTCTGGGTTCGCTCGAATTTGCGCCGAGATCGATAGCGCTCCACAACCGGAACAGTTAGTACGAACGGAGTAGCTCGGTACATCCACCTGAAAACGGTACATCACGATTACGGAACACGACATACTTTTGACAGATGAATTATTTTTGTTATGAAACAGATGATCGAATTTAAAATCGTAATCAAAACATTGCCTTGTTTTGATTTAGAATTGAATTAAAATATGGATTAAAATGAGGAAAAAAAACTATCACAGCAAATAGAATTTGACTATGGAAAATTAGGAAATCTGACGACAATTGAAATTGAGAGAATATGTTGAAAAACTTAAGGAAGTCTTGAATATAAAATTGAAAGTAGGTAAGAAATGTTTATGCAATTTTGGCCCGTTACACACCTCGTCATGTAATTGTTGCATTTCAAACGGAAAAACGAGATTCTCTTAGCTCGAATATGAGTGAATTCGATGACATAAATAGAAATATTAAAGTATTTTTGAACTCTGAGAGATATCCATATAACGATCTTAATTTAGATATAAGTAAAAACAGATTCGCTGTTTTATATGAAATGTATTCTCAGTTTCAAACAACTTATTATGGAAAATCTGATGAACCCTTGTTTGATCCTGTTAAATTTAAAGATACAGCACCTATTGCATACATAAATTGCTCGCATCAGAAAGAATCTCTACAAGCAGGCCCCGTTGTTATGAGAGTAGAATTTGATTTACACAAGGATCTAGATAAAAATACATCAGCATATTGTCTTATATCACATGATAAAGTTTTCAGTTATAACCCCCTCACCAAGGTGGTTAGGCAACTATAAAGCGAAAACCAGTGCGAATCCAGCAAGAAAACCAGCATGGAACCAGCAAAAACCAGCACAAAACCAGTGAAAACCAGCAAAAACCAGCTAAAACCAGTGAAAACCAGCAAAAACCAGTGAAAACCAGTGAAAACCAGCACGATACCAGTTAAACCAGCACGAAACCAGCAAAAACCAGTGAAAACCACTGAAAACCAGCACGAAACCAGCATGAAACCAGCCCAAATCTATATAGGAGAAGCAACATTATATTTTTGATCAGTATGTCGGCAGAACTCGAGCAACGTTTACTCAATTTCCAAGAGAATTTAAAACTGCTTAAGCTACAAATAAAAAAATATACTGAAAAGAGAGACATGTTCAAGAAGTTTTCAGACATGAAAATATGATTCAATTAGTATTGGATGTCCAAGGGTTCAAAGTAGAAAACAACAAATTTATTCCCAAAGAACTGGCAGCTTTTGATGGTAAAAGAGTATGCCATTATATCTTTAAGCCACCTTATCCTATTGGATATTTACCATCAGACTTAGTAAAGCAAGCTAAATGGCTAATACAAAATCACCACTGCATTCAATGGGAACAAGGATTTACACAAGTGCATAAATTTTCCGAGATAGTCACAAATTTGACTGAAAAAGTTGATACAGTGTATGTCAAGGGAGCAGAAAAAGCTAAATACATAAAAAAATATTCAACGAAACCCGTCATAGAATTTGAAGAAAATCTCATGACAATACAACCTAATGAACCCCAATGCTTTTATCATTCAAGTTTGAAATGTATTTGTGCTTTAACTAACGTATACCATTTTTATAATAACTATTTAATGGTTGAATAAAACGATTTTTTTTTACGAAATGTTTTTTATTGAAATTAATTTTCAAACGTTTGAATATATTTTTTGGTGCGAATTTTTCCACTTCTTCCAGGAATTGTGTGAGTCCTAGTTCTTTGATTGTCTCTAGAAAACTTGTTAGATCCGACGTGTGCAGATATAAATTGCATGCTTCTACTCCTTTTTCATAGTTTTTGGCAATTTTCGTACATTCTTCTTCGTTGTAAAATTGATCCATTCCGTATACTGCTTCATGCTCTGCATCAAATTGTAAATGTCTTAAATGTTGCGCCAAATTTTCAACAGCAGATACTAAGTTGTATGCTGATTTGTACTCTACGTAAGCTAACCACATCTTGACTTGTTTAATAAAGACTGAAGCTTACAGAGAAATTTATACGTCTTAAATACTATTTACTTAACGGTGGGAGGATGAAAAGACATTATTCAAGTCAAACTTTATTTTCCAAAACAGCTATTTACAAATTCATTGCAAGCAAAAGATTCTACATCCTCAATAATACAATCAGAATAGAAATTTAATAATTCCAACATACAACAAATATTTGCACTATTGGGATTTTTTGAAGGTGAAATAATTTCATACAGATTATTCATCAGATCTCCAGATTTTGATGAGACACCACTTACTAAAATATTGTAATATTTTGAAAATTCTTGAAATTTTAACATATCATAGCGATATTTAACTAAATTCACCAAGTTCGAGAGTTCACTTATGGTTTCGCCTGCTAAAAAGACTTCATTGCCTCCGTCTTGACTTATCTTGATAATTCTTGCATCTCCCATATAGACGAAGTGGATTTGAAAACCATTTCCATGCATGGGTTGCCATCCGGTTTTGTTAGAGTAAACAAAACTTAGCATGATTCCTTGATTGTTTAAAAAAGATATCCATTGATCTTCATTGAATATAACGTGTTGATTATTTTTAATTCCACCCAACTTAATCACGACTTCATATTTTCTCTCCAACGAAAAACCAACACTGATCCATTTACTTTTGGATTTATTTAGAAAATATTTTGTTTCACTGATCAAAATTCCCGTTCTCTTTCTAAACTGAACGTTGAAGTCGAATGTATCGTATCTTGTATCGTTTTTCTCCATAACTTGAGTATTATAAGCACTTTGCATTTTGAGATAATATTCAAACAACTGTTAAAATCGTAATGTTCACCAACGCTATAAGGATTCCTTAAATATAGAAATAAAAAAAGGTGGAGGGATCTCATTGTTGTTAGAAAAGGTAATATAGAGTATCCTAACTCGACAGTCTCCTCCCACAAAAATATTATCTTTTAAATATGTTTGAATGGTAGTGATAGAAAATAGTTTCATTTGTTCATCCTTGGCTTGAGGTTGTCTCAAAAAAAAAGGAATAAAAGAGCGAGAAAAGTTGAAAATTTCAGAAATCCAGAAAAGTTCTGTGAAATGACTGGGTGTTTTTGTGTTGATGTGTTGCTATCCCATATTAACGGAAAAAAGCAATTTACAGACTTCACCAGCGAAGAATTAAACATGATACCTTTGGATTACTTGATTAAAAATGCCAACACTTTTGAATTACTGGAGATATGGAGCAAATTACCACCTGACTACAAATCTGATTTTTCCCTACAAATAAGACTACCCTGTTTTTTTCACTACAATCGCGCAGATTGGAGAACCCACATCGATGGCCCAGTTTCCTCACAACAAGAATGTTATTTTTGTAATAAAGTTCTAAAATAAAATTATTTTTAATAATAATCGTTTTTTTAATAAAAATCTAGTTAGCAAATTTTATTGGGTGACTTATAAAAGTTTCAGACGAGAGACATTTGTTCCGATGTTGGTCTAGTAAATTAATATAAACATATGGTGAAACCGGTAAATTATTTGCCAGCACAGATGAGTAATATTCATATTTAGTGAAATTGCATGCAAAAACATTATTTTGCAGAGGTGTGTGAAGATGCGGGTTGCGTTTTATGTTGGAAAAATAAGGGGTGAATGCTTTAATTAATTCAAAAAACCTATTATAAAAAGAGATTCTGTACATATTTCAGTTAGTTTACAAATATTTACGCGTCTAAAGCTATGGGGAAACCCAAAGCTGAAGCTTTAAAAAAAATTGTTGTGTCTAAGGGAAAACCCAGTGCTGAAACCTTAAAACATCTTGTTGGGCCTAAGGTGAACTTAATTGAACAAATAATTATTTCACCAATTACTACTACTGAGCAAACCATACGTTATCAAAATTTAGAAGAAATTGAGTATCAACCAAACTATGAAACAATTTCACCAGTAAGTTCACCATTACTCGATTTTTTTTTTTACAAATACTGAATGTATACCAATGGATATTTTGCCTAAAACAAATGTGCAACATCTGCTAGAAGAGTTGGACCAGTTGATCTCCTACAATATGAATGAAGAACAGATTATTGTCTCCCAGGACTTAAATAAAGTTCAAAAAATTCAGCAGCAAGAGCAACAGATTATCTCAGAGGACTTACATGCAGTTGAAGAAATCCAACAGCAAGGGAAACAGATTATCTCACAGGAGTTAAGTGAAGTTTACGAAATCCAACAGCAAGAGAAACAGATTATCTCAGAGGACTTATATGCAGTTCAAGAAATCCAACAGCAAGGGAAACAGATTATCTCACAGGACTTGAATGAAGTTCAAGAAATTAATAGAATCATCGATCGCGACTTGTTAATTGATGACATTAACCAACTACGCGAAAAAGTAACTATGAAACTAAACATGTATATAAATCAAATGAACGAATGCAAAAAGTGTTTAAAAGTGCTTGAAGAACGAGAAAATATTATAAAAAATAATTATAACTTGTTAATCGAACAAGAAAAGCTTTTAAAAATATTAGGTGAATAACTCTTGAAGATGCTTGTGTGTATTCCCAGTTATAATTTACTAACACTAATAAAGATTTTTTTTTAAACTTTTTTTTGTTGAGTTTCCCCACAGTTTTAGACGCACAATTATTTGTAAGCTTGAATGTATTGATAAATAATAAAAAATTAAAAAATATCCTTTTTGTTTCATTATAAACTAATTTTTATTGGTTATCTTGGTAATATAAAATAGATTTTACCTGATTTTTTTTTCTATTAGGTAATCCAAAGAGTTAATCCAAAAAAATTGCTTTGACACACATTTTGTAATCACACAAACACTTCAAAAAAAAAACACATTTTTTTTCAACAGCAAATATTCGATTGAAAACACTCATACATACAACGCGATCTACTTATACCTACTTGTAAAAATTTTAAACTAAAGAAGACATGGGTTTCGTCGACTCGATCGTTAAACCCTTAGATGTTTAACCAATTTGCATTCTTTACCTGCAGCTGTTTTGACCCAGGCAGAAAAGTAGACGCTCGCATAATAATTACAGGAAATAAAAAAACGAGTTCATGTCACACTTCTTTATTTGCAAATATACATTTTTATGACTAAAAATAGTAAATCAAATTTTTTTAAAAACCTGCTACATTAACAAAAAATATATTGTCAAAAATAACATTTGATCGTGTCCATCTTCCTTAAAAACTGGTAAATATCTGTCCTTTAATTTTATTGCATAATAAAATTTTCTGCACATGGGGCAGGTTTCATTTGTTTTTGTCCACTCAAATAAACATTTTAAACAAAATTGATGTTTACACAAATTTGGTTGACTGGCATCGTTTTTCTCTATGGTCTCGAAGCAAATGGGGCAATCATCTAGGTTTTCCATCTTTAGCTCCAGAAATTTATAGTATTCGCTCTTATTATTTGCTGGCAAAAATGCTGGCTTTTGATTGGCTGCTTCTAATAAACCAGATATCAGCAAAACGTTTCAAGATTAGTTTGGGAATTTTTGGGTTTCCTTCAGCTAATTTTGGACAACGAAAAACACACGATTCCTTTTTGTGTCTATAAACATTTGTTTTATGCTTAAATGGTTTATCACACTTGTTGCATTTAAACATTATTTAACGTATACTGCATTATATACAATACTTGAATGGTTCACACAGACAAAATTTCAATGATTTGTATAGAAGAAAATAAGTCTATTTATTTCAAGATAACAGGGTGGGGGGATACTTTAATTAGCGCGGTATAGGGGGATGGTTGTATCTTGAGTGGTAGGGGGATTGCTTGAGATCAAAACTAGGGGGATTCCTATGAGGGCGCGGTAGGGGGATGGTGTCTCTTTGTCTCGTCTCTTTCTTGGCCCAGAATGCCTGTAAACTCCCTACTGCCACCAAATACCGTTATGGAACCGACCGGTACTCCCTCAAAAACCACCGCTTCACAGCCGACCACCTCCAAACACACGCGAATGTTTGATGACATATATCTGCCGGTCGAAAAGGACTTATGCTGGAGGTGCGGCTACCCCGGACATCGCCGCAATGCCTGTAGGGGCAAGCCCTAACCTTTTGCTCTCGATGCGGCCATGTTGGGTACTTGTCATCCGAATGTCCGTGTGAGTCACGGTCAAAACCTCCACAACCGTCAACTTCGAGAGCAGCCCGAAGCTCATTACGTGATATGACCACGTCTACTCCGCCGACACACCGAGGTGCCTTAAAGCCCAAGCCATATACCAAAGCGTCTGTGTCACACCGGGAGTTACCGGCAACCAGGCGACAGAGTACAGCATCCGTAGGGGTGCAGTGTTGTTTGCATCAGCTCAAGTACCGGCCTTGTCGCTTGTGTGGTTGTCCGTATGGTCGCCTATCCAGAGGCGAACCCGATTTGTAAAAATTATTATTATATCTGGTGAGGTACCAGGGGGGCCTGAGGAACCACCAGTCGCCGTAGACCCCGACGATTCCAGCCGCTTGTAGAGACGACCCTCTGACATTGCCAGAACCAGGGAGGAACAGATATGGACATTTATTTTTCGTTTTGGGTATATAGTTTTAATTTTAATTTTTTTTCAGTACCTTTTATTTTGCTTTAGAGAACCGGATAGGTTCATATTTTTTTTGTATTCCTATATATAGTTTATAAAATATTTAAGTAAAAATATTTTTTCCGAAGACGAGGGAGTGTGTAACGAAGGTTACTAAATTTTTCGTGCATCCCGGTAATTCAATTAGTTAAAAATTAGCGCGAGTTCAATCAATCGGATTTTATGAGACTCACCCCGGGGTGGAGTAGATTCTGAGAGGGGTTGCAACCCGCTGCAGTTCCCCATGATCGCGTGACCTCGTACTCTCCGCACTGGTAGAGTGGATACGACGCGCGATCGTCGCCGTACCCACACTCCTTGCGCGCGACCGTCGAAGCCGGTACCAGGATTTTTGGCTATAAATATAGCCGCGCTGCAAGAGAACCGGAATTCCGTCTCCGATTCCGCTTCCGACTCCAGCTCCGATCCGACCAGCCGACAGCCAAGGTACGCCGACCTCCGCCGGCGTCTCCGCCGTCTTCAGCCGCCGTCTCCGCCGTCATCCGCCGTCATCCGCCGCGACGCCGTCGACAATGGTAAAGTAGAGTGAGAGGGCAGGTATCTTCTTCTAAGGGGTATAAGGATCATAGATTGTATAGCGTGCTGACGGACCGATTACGGGGCTATCTATCCTTTCTATGACGAGGCAAGGGGGGGTCTGTCCGGACCGATTACGGGGGTTCACTCTTGCTTCTATCCTTATATTTCTGACATTTCTTTCTTCTTTCATTGGCATATTTATTGGTGACATGGATTGCACGGGGTTGCTGCCGGACCGATTACGGGGCGCTCTAATCTTTCCATGACGAGCCAAGAGAGCGTCTGTCCGGACCGATTACGGGGTATCTCTCTCGGTTCCATTCCAATACTTATGTCATTCTCTGGACTGCGGATCGAATAACGTTTCGGCTCTATTCTCTCCGTAGAGGATTGGTGGGGACGTCTCCGACCGAACCGATACCGAGTGACGCACCCCTCCAATTCTGTCCTTCTCTTTTCTTTAAACCTGCACTCTACTCGGTTGCATAGTTCGCGCATGCGCCTGGAATACGAGCTGAAGGTGGTAGGAGCACGGCAGCCTAGCATCAATAATTCCTTGGAGCTATTTACCGAAACCGTTATTTTTCCGCAATGCTATTGACCGATACCGTTATTTTTCCGCGATCTTATTACCGCGATTTTCCGCCACGTACATAGTATTTATACATTATTCCCGCCGACTTCGTTCCACTCTCCCCGCTCTTTGTCTCTCATTTAATTGCATTTTTCACTGTTCCTTTTATCTTATGTAATTGGGCAAATAAAAACTTTAATTTGTAAGTTGGATTCTGTGTTTCATTTTGAGGATGCGCATATTGACCTCTGGTTTTCCGTCTCCACTGTTTAAAAGCTACCTAGAGCACGTGGGCCCTTAACCACATTAATCCTAAGGGTGGCGCCCGAGTTTTCCGAAAATTCCGAAATCAACCGCTTTCCCACCGGAAAACCAAAGTAGCGCTACACAGGGTACGCCAGAAACTCCTCGGATCAGCTTTAAACTTGTGTTGTAAAAAAGCACGTTTTTCATTTCTTACGGCAGTGGTTACAAAATTTCTTAAATTTTTATATTGTTGCCACAAAGTTTCAGTTTTATTTTTATTAAATTTCGTTCGAGCTTTGTCACGCAGTCTCATAAGAAGTTTCAAATTATCCGTCAGCCATGGAGCTGGCGCCTTTGTAATTCGTGCAGTTTTTAATGGGGCATGAAAGTCGAAAATATCGCTAATCTTCCTA